TGTGTGTGTGTGTGTGTGTGTGTGAGCTAGGCCCTGTTCACCCTGTATTTATTTGCATGTTAGAAATTTGCTGGAACTGTTTTGTCGATGTGTCGGCTCATTTTATTGGAGCTCAGCTCTTTTTCGCCTCTCCTCTCATAAATGACGGCGTGTCCTCATCCATCTGGATGTCATTTCTCTTTCATGTTTTATTATTTCTCTCCTTCTTTCCTTTTCCATCTTTTTCGCACCCTCTCTTCTCTGTGCACATTCTCACCGACCCGACTCCAGAGCAGTTCCTCTGCTAAGTGGCTAAAAATTGGCTCTCGTGTTTACCCTCATCCTTTTCATTCTCTCCAGAGCCCAGAGATATGAAACAAGGGAGTGAGGAAGAAAGAAAAAGAACAAGGGGGAGATGAACAGATAAAGGAGGGAGTGAGGGAGAAAGAGAGACTGACATTATACTGATACAGAGGAAATATTACGAGGTGAGACAGAGTGTTATAGGGTCGTCCTATGCTTCACAGGGGTATTAAGTGTCTCCATCCGTCTCTTTGTCTAAACACCTCACCGACTCTCCCAATGAAGCCATTAAACTGTTCTCTTTGTTCCTCCATGTTTCTGTGTCCTTTTAAAGTCTTCTGTCAAAATCTCCTCTTCTTTTGTATTCTTTCCTGTCCTCTCATCTTGTGTCCCTTTGTCTCATCTCATCTCCACTTGTCTCGTCTCCTCATCTCATCTTGTCTCGTCTTCTCTCATCTCCTCTCCTCACTCCTCCTCTTGTCTTGTCTCCTTTTGTCTCATCTCCTTCTGTCTCCTCTCATGTTGTCTCCTCACCTCTCCTCTCGTCTCATCATCTCTCCTCATGTCATGTCTCCTTTTGTCTCCTCCTCTCCTATCCTCTTGTCTCATCTCCTTTCCTCACCACTCATCTCCTTTCGTCTCCTCTACTCCCCTCACCTCTTGTCTCCTTTCGTCTCCTCATGTCCCCTCACCTCACCTCTCGTCTTTTCCCACCTCCTTGTCTCGTCTTGTCTCCTTTTATCTCATCTCCTCACCACTCATCTTATTTCATCTTTTCTCATCTTGTTACCTCTCCTCCCCTCACCTCTCATCTCCTCCTGTCCCCTTTCATCTCCTTACCTCTCATTTCATCTCCTTGTCTCCTTTTGTCTACTCTTGTCTTCTCATCTCCTCTCCTCACCTCATTTCCTTTCATCTCATCTTATCTCCTCTCCTCCCCTGACCTCTTGTCTCCTCTTGTTTCCTTTCGTCTCTTCACCTCACCTCTCCTTTTGTCTCGTCTCACCTCCTTGTCTCATCTCCCTTCTTCACCACTTATCTCCTTTTGTCTCCTCTCATCTTGTCTCCTCTCCTCCCCTCTCCTGAGGCCAAGAGAGGGTGGAGATGTCCTGACACTGTGTGTTTGTGTGTGTGTGTTCGTGTGTGTGTGTTTTCGTGAGGATCGGTTTTCTATATGCCGTCATCGTGTGCCATTTGATAGGAGCCATGATTGGTCATTTGAGACATATTTAGCCCTGGTCATCTTTCATACACACACACATGGGCGCGTCACAGGAAAGGAGTGGTGCTCTCTTGATTGTTTAGTTGCCCTTTCATATTTTTCTAATCTCGAGAAAATGAATGTGAGTAGAGCGGCGGGCCAGCAGGGAGGAGAGGAAGTGAGAGAGAGGAACATTTACTGTACTTAAACCTGTGCCTAAATATAGACCAACTTAACAGGTTTTTGTTGGGTCAAACGTACGTACCTATGCATGCACATGCTGTGTAAGAAAATGTCATGTTATTCATAGCAATATGCTGGCATTTTGTAAAATATGTTTACTTTATTCTTGCAGAGAGTAAGATTAGAAGATGAAAACCACTCCCATGTCTGTCAGATAAATATGACGCTCCAGCCGGGAGCCAATTCAGCTTGGTGTCATGGCTAAAGGCAGGGGGAAGCAAACAAACCCCCTACAGCACCTCTACAGTGTCTACATTACATGTTATAGCCTTTATCTTGTTTTAATAATCCATATAAAAACAAAGTGTAAAGAAAAAGAATGTATTTATGGGATTTCTTGGAGGAAGGAAACTCTTAACTTGCTGGTTTTTCAGATTAAACAATCAAGTTACTGTAATTGAATGACCTGAGGGGGTGGAAGGTTTATTTCCCCCGTGTGTTAAAGATACAAATCTGTTTCTTGAAGTTTTGCATTTTGGGGCTGATTATGTTAACTTGCATTATTCTCGTGGCAATAATGACTTACCATCTCTGATTCTGCATTTGGGTTTTACATCAACTTATATCATGAGAGGAGAGAAATCTGTCATTGTCAACTCCTTTGCTATTACATGTATATCGTTCTTTTTAACATCTCTGCACACGTCAACCTTGTATCTTATTTCCAGTAGCCTGATTAGCCACTATCTATTTTGATAAACCCCAATGTGCGATCCAGGGTCCTCCAGTACTGCTGCATTTTACTCACACAGAATCGGAATATCTGAATCCTGCTTTGGGAACTTAGTACCAGTGTCTAAGGCACAATACATAAAAAATGATAATGATAAACCATGATTATAGCTATTGTATGAGCTGCAGTGAAAGTAAAAATCTGATACCTGTCCTGAACAGGATGTGTTGTGTTGCTGCTTTGATCGTCATCATTGCTAATGAATAGATGGAGAAGCTAAATCCACAACTAATTGTTAAATGCGCAATTGACTAAGCGGGTACTGTCCAATGCGTTGACTCACTCGGTACAGAAATAACCTATTGTCTGAGGTCATCTTGAACGCACCTCTAGATCACTAATGTGAATAGAATTGCATACTGGGAAATTTAGGAATGTGCATGAGGATCCTGCAGCCAGGCTCTGCACCGAGAGATGAATGGAGGCTACAGCTGCCATGACTAGCTAAATATTACACACTGCAACACACAGATACACATGCGCTAACTGAGCAGAAGGCCAGAATATGTGAGGAATGTGCTCTTGGAGATGACGACCTTCACGCGGACACACGCACCACGTTGTGTGCTCGGATACACAACAACTATGTGCAAAAAAACCGCACACATTCCACTTCACGTTCACACAAGGTTCACACGCGGCTCCGATAGCACGCTGACACATTTGTACTCGTCTAGGGTGAAGATTCACTCATGATGTACATATACAAGGATTTATACACACACCCTATCTTGCTCAACAGGTCAGGATGTTTCACAAGTTAAGGCCTGCATGTCGAGGATATGTCTGTGTGAATATTGCTGCATCTGTTAGTGTGTGCATTTTACACCACTAGGCAGTGAGAACATTCTAACCGTCAATGGCACACACACACACATACACACACATACACACACATAGGTGGCCGTCACAGTTATAGTCTCATTACTGTCGTCTCCAAGGAGTCACCATGGCAATAGCAGAATGAAACCACGGCCTGTGGGAGTGGAGGTGTGTGTGTGTGTGTGTGACTGTGTGTGCGTGCGCGGCCAATAGACCCAGAAGCACTTGATTCCCCCAGGAAGTTAGTTCTCTCCACAGGCCAATGGGAGGTGAAAATTTGAGACAGAGTTTAATCCAATTGGTCTAACTCTTCTGACCTTTGTTACTCGCGACCAATCCCACGGGAGCAGACAGCCTGCAGGGCGATGACTTCACAGCAGAAGAGAAGTAAAGAAAGAAGGAATGAGGAAGATGCACATTTCAACACATGAGCCAAAGGAAAGTGACTTTATGAGTTTGTCTCTGCGGTTGTTTCTTGAAAGGAAATGTGAGCAGAATAACAGGATGAATGACGTAAACACTGAAGGTTTTCACATTTTATGAAACAAAATTACATTTGGGCCTAAAATGCATAAAGTTCCACAGCAACGCCACACGGAGACGTGGATGAAGTGTAACAGCGTGTAGAATGAATGTAGAGCTAAACACATATTTACAGTGCGTCCTCTGTGTTTATGGCCACACTCTCCACCTCCTGTCCATTCCTGTCCATTTTCATCCCTAACCCCCAGATTGAGGGTGCTGTCGTCTGTGTGTTTGGCTTGTTCGCATGTATTAGCAGATATTAAAACTTTTATCTCTGTATCCCTCATCCAAATTTACCCCAAGAGATAAACGATGTGTCAAAAGTGTGTGTTTGTGTGTGTGGCTGGCTCTCTTGCTCACACTCGCACAAACACACACAGGGTTAATAAGTTAGCGGTTGTGTTTTATGTCCGTGTCTGTTGGAAGATAAATAAAGAGGATTTAATGGAAGGAGGAGAAGGCCTTGACAAGCTTTCAGCTTGAGGAATTAGCTTTAACACAGGCCTTTGTTTTCATCTGTCTAAAAACTGATTCTTGTTCCATCTGTGCTTCACACACAAAACAAAACGGCAGAGAATTATATTGGCAATTGTGTTTCTTAACATGCTTGTCCCTGTCATAAGTAAAAGTGCATTTTCTGTTCATTTATTTGTCAAAATATCCACCGACTCAGTCTGTCTCCTGCAAATAGACTCATTCCATGACAGCACCAAAGACTGTTTAAAAAAACTGTTTTGTTCGACTCCACTGGTCAGTTTCTGTAGAAGTTTATGGGAAATTGTAACAAACACAATTTCCCCCCTGGGATCAATAAAGTATTTCAGATTCTGAAACTTATCACACAGTGTTTTGTGCTAAATGCTATTATACATGCAAACTGCTCAGTTGCTTTGTTCCAGTTTCTCTGAGATGATAAAGGAAACATTTCAGAAGTTAGAAATCTGTATGTGCTGTGCGAAAATAATTGACTCTTCCCCCTGCCATAATCTCAATCTTTTCTTTCTTCTAATTGTCAACAGTGACGCTAGATAATAACAATACGTATATATTCATGTATGTAGCAGTTACCCATGCTAATGTTGAAATTTTGTGACACACTCTGACATCTTTTGGTATCTCTGTGTTTTAGGATGTGGAGGTTCTGGACATCAGCACCATCAGGGACACCAGGACGGGAAAGTACGCCAAACTACCAAAGGTTTGTGATGTGTGTCTGTGTCTGTCTGCCTGTGTCTGTCTGTCTGTGTGTGTGTGTGTGCGCCTGCGTGTGAGAGAAAAGAAGCTGTCAGCTCCTGCTGTTGATAACTTCTAACGTCCTCTGACCAGCAGCGATGTGATGCTCAAGTGTGACTGTCACTATAAGATGTGTGTCCTCTGTGTGTGTGGGTTTCCTTTCCCAAGTGATGGTGCAAAGGTGACAGAGCACTAATGAGCCCCACTGACAGATGGGCCATTACACAGGAAGTGATATAACCAGTGGCTGTTGGCGAGGAAGTCATTGTGTAAGAGCGTGACAGAGACACTCATATGAAGCTGCTGCACATTAGTGGTTCAAACGCATGACGGCTCCAGAGCATGTCCTCTGCTGAGCGTAGTGTCAGCATGTTGATTGGTATTGTAAAAGAAGAACTGAGTCATTGGTCAGTATGTCACAGCACAAGAGCTTTTACATTCATGTTATGATCTGTAATAAAAGTGATAAACAACAAATTATTGACGCTGCATGAAAAAATGAACTTTCAGGACGACTGTGTGACGTGTAGGGGTGATGAAATGTGACTAATTGATGAAATGCAGCAGTCGGAAGAGCAGAAAAACTAAACAGCTTATCACTAGTGTATGTGGCTGTACAGATCACTTTGGATTGATTTGCACAGTTCATGGGATGAAATATCCCCCTCAGCCTTTAGGTTTGAAAACTCCAGCGCTGTGTTTTAGTCTGGACGAGCAGAAACTGAGACTTTTACACTCACGATGCTTATGTAGACACTCAAATCAATTTTCAGTCATGATGTAACCTAATTCGTCAGGCTCCTATCACATGACCCCCAGCATTGTCCTTGAATACCAGTGTAGAACGCAACATGGATAATCAGTTACAAGTGTTGCTGACCATGTTGTGCTCACAACTGTTGTGCAGTTAAATTCTACATTTTATTACAGTACACATGCTGACATGTCAGAGACAAACTATGATTGTGTTTGCACCAGCACACATGCCCAGTGTACATGAGTGGTCTGGTGATGTGCGATTTCAGGCGTGCGTGTATGGACTGGGATTAAAACTGATACAGAGCCAGAAGCTTGTGTGGACAGAAATAGTTTTACGCTGAAAACACAGCTTTCAAGAGATAATGTAGGACGTCCCCCATGGCCCAACCGTCTCTTGAATGCAATCAACCATGATTTTGTTCTTGGGAAATCGGTAGAAAAATAAAAAAAACGTCTAATCTCACAAAGGGATAAAAAAGAAGTTACGGGTTCTGAAGCGGTCCGTGTCCTATTTAATAATGGATCAAAAATGTGTCTAATGTCAAAACCCACAGACAATTATCACCCAACTCCACAGATGCATTTCAGCTTCTTTCAACTTCTTGTTTTGGCCGTACGTCCTGCAACTTTGCTGTTTTGGCTGATCTCATTAGCTTTGTTTCCAGCCGCGGAAGGCAGATGTTTTCAATGGAAAGCTCTCATTAAGCGACTGTATGCTACCTGCCCAGCACCACACAGAACACAGATGCTGGCGATTATCTGGTGAACACAGTGGAGCAGCCAGATGTTTGCCTCTGCAGCTGGTAGAGATCAGAGTGAATGTTGGTGGGAATTTAGTTGTTTTGTGTAATAACAAGTTCACCATATACATTTATTTAAGATTTTATATATGTATACATTTCTTTCACCTTGTTGGTTAAAAGTAAAGTTAACGCAGGTTAAAAAGTATTAAAATAAAGGAAAAAAAACACGCAGAACACTGTCAACAGTTACAAGGATTCATTCCTGGATAGAAAGGGTTCCAGATAAAAAATGGCTGATAGTTTGGTCTGTGGATTATCTTAAAATAGATAGATAGGCACAGTCAGGTTTTATATGAACACACAAATTAAGAGAGCAGTACAATAACGACATTAAAAATCTTAATTTTAGTGTAAAACCATAAAATAAGTGAAAAAAAAAATATGAAAGTAAATTGAGTACATTTAAAAAAGCATTCAAAAGCAGACTATGGCAACAGATGTTATATGTCTTATGTAGAGTGTGAGGGCCTGTACTGGAAAAGTGTGATAGCTCTTAGTCACTAGTCTGTCTATAAAAAAAATTAACCCCCTGATATAGACAGGGGCTTAGTTGTGTAAATTGTCAATACAATCTTAAAATCAATGCAAAAAGAAACAGGAAGTCAATGTAGTGAGGCAATTATCAGTGTTGTGTGGTCACGTTTTCTTAAACCAGTAATAATCCTAACAGCAGCAGCATTTTGAACCAGTTGAAGATGATGCAGGGATGCCTGGGTAGGGGCCCCGTCACACACACACGCATGTGAAGCGAATATCACAGGTCAAAGTTCACCAAAGTTGAACTACATGCAAATCGCAGGGTGGCTTTCCCCTTTGGTGAAGTCTGACCTGTTATATTCGTATCACTTTTGCGATTGTGTCACCAGGTTGGTACAGAGGGCGTTAGAGAAAAGCAGGGAACATTTAAAGGCACAGACAACCCTGTGAAAGTCTTCAACCGTAGCGAAGGATTTCATCTTTGAAAAGAACTTGAGTTGGAGAAAACACAACAAAAACAAAGGCCAGAATCAAAAAGGTTGCTGCTGGTTTTGTTTTGTTAAACATTTGTGTAAGACGGATCCTTTAAAGTCTCACTTGCTTTTTAAAGATGATGCATCAGCCATCCTTGTTCATTTGTTTAATTGAAACGAAACAGAGGCATGACAGAAAGGGTGTCCGGTGGAGTCGGTGGTAGAAAGAGGAAAGAGTCGTTTGGTTAATGAGATCAGAGCGCTGCAGCACATGCATCACATTTACTGTTCTCAAGAGACAATGGAGAGATGGACGACCATCGGATGTAGGATGGAGAATATACATGTCAAACCAGTGTTAATGTTTGTGTGTCATTTTACATTCAATATCCCAAAGAGTTTACGTGTGTGTGTGTGTGTGTGTGTGTGTGTGTGTGTG